GGAGCCTGCAGCGGGGGGGGTGGGACGCACGTGGGATGTGCCGGCAAGGTGGGTTTGGGCTGCGGAGGGGGAAGAGGGATGCTTTGGGAAGGCTGCGGGGGCCGCTGGCTTTGGTGTGTGGGGCGGAGAGTTTGGTCTGTGTGCGGTGTGGAGGAGAGCTGTTCTGGAGGTGTTTTGACTGAGACTCTCTGTGTTCTCAGTCCATAAAAATAAAAATAAGATAAGAAAGAAATGTTTTACTACTGAGGGTGGTGAAGCACTGGCATAGGTTGCCCAGAGAGGCAGTGGAGGCCCCATCCCTGGAAATATTCAAGGTCAGGTTGGACGGGGCTCTGAGCACCCTGCTCTGGTTAAAGCTGTCCCTGCTCGCTGCAGGGGGGCTGGGCTGGATGGCCTCGAAAGGTCCCTTCCAACCCAAAGCATTCTGTGATTTCACCCAGATATGCTCCCTATGCACTCTGTCTCTTCCTTTGTTTTGCTCTCCTGTGGGCACTGTCTAATTCCCATCTTGCACTCTCTCCCCCAGGCTATAAAATCCCTGTTATTGAGAACTTGGGTGCCACTCTGGACCAGTTTGATGCAATTGATTTCTCTGACAATGAGATCCGTAAACTGGATGGGTTCCCTCTGTTGAGAAGGCTGAAAACTCTTCTGATGAACAACAACAGGATTTGGTAGGCGGTTGTATTTTGGCCAGATGGGACCCTGGGGCGGAGGAAAATGCTCTTGGGAGAGAAGAGTGCGTGTGTCTTTCAGTGCTGGGTGGGTGTAGAAGTGTTTTGTGGAAAAAAAATTGTCACTGAGCACTGTATAGGCCCTCTTCCAAGTTGCCTGCTTCATTCAGTGCAAAAGTCAGTCTTCGTTTTTCAGACGGGACAGCAAGATGCAGGGTTTGGAATTTGGCTGGAACTTTGGATTTCATTTATCATCCCCATAAAGACAAGAAAATGGGGATACCTGCAAGTGAATGAACGTAAATCTCATATTGCATCTAATTACAGTGATGGTGGCTGGTATTTATTGCCGTCTTTAGTAGAAAAAGCATCGTAGGCAATGCTAACCCAAACTCTTGCCAGTGTCAGACTGGGTTGTTTTACAGGGAGGTCCTCTATGTTACCGTATTTCTGCCTGTCTTTTCACCGTTGCTAATTTCTGGCCTAAGTTAAACCTTTGGGTTTTGTTTTTCTTTAGTCGCATTGGTGAAAGCCTTGAACAGGCTCTACCCAGCCTGACGGAGCTCATTCTTACCAACAACAACATTGCTGAATTGGTAAGCTGTCAACACAGGATAAATCTAAACAAGCTTAAATTTGTGTTTGTCATCTTTCTAATTAACTTTATTCCTGAGAGTAGTGTCATATGCTTTTGGTAATAGTTGGTGCTACTCATTTTTCTAGTTAGCCTTTTTTGTTTTTCTTTAGAGTAATATCATATGGTTTTGGTACTAGTTAATGGTGGACAAGTTTTAATGAACAAAATTTGCAGCATGCAGTGGAACAGCAGTCACAAAGTCGTAGTGGGTTTCCTGTTAAACTAATTGCAGTAATTCTAGTTTGTCTCTGAAATAGATATGAGTTCAGAAACTGTGTTTTCAAATGTTTGATTCTCATTAAATGGACTTAGGATTTCTTACTGTGTTCCCATTATGTAGGGTGAACTGGATCCGTTATCTACTATTAAATCGTTGACTTACCTGAGGTATGTAATCTTGAAAACAAAAGCTATTCTCTCTCTGCTGTTTGAACTCTGCTGCTGGCCTGGCCCTTTGCTTTGATCTGGAATGCTCTTCTTTTTATGAGCTGTGACAGATTCTTTGTGCTTAAAAATTGAATCGATAACCAATGTTTCCACTACGCTTCAGAATTACCTGGTCTTTAATGGGTGAGGCTTTATATTACTGACAGACTTTGGACCAATGAGATGTAACATCTCTATAAATCAATATGCAAAGAAGCTAAAACGTAAAGGTTTAAACTGTTATTACAAAAGACTTTAAAGTACATGTAAACAATGACTTTTCAGTAACATTACATTTGGTGCAAGGGACCAAAACAGAAAAGCAATTCGTCCCGTGATTTTTTGGTAGGTCAGTGTCCAGGTAGGAGATACGGTGGTTTAGTTATTTGGGTTTTTTTTTAATATTTTGTGGTTGTTCTTTATGTTCCTCATCAATAAAATCTATTTAATTGATAAAATACTTTAAAGTGCAAGTTTTTACGATAGTTTTCATAATATCAAAGAACACTGTCACAAGGCTTATTTAATGGTGTTATTTGTCTGTTATAGCAGAAGGTACATGAACGCATTTTAAGTATATTAATGTATTTCAATGTAGGCCTATTTTAAAATATTTTACTTATTATCTTTCTAACCTTGATTTACATTGCAGCATTTTAAGGAATCCTGTAACAAATAAGAAGCATTACAGACTGTATGTAATCCATAAAGTTCCCCAGGTCAGAGTGCTGGATTTTCAAAAAGTGAAACTCAAAGTAAGTCTGTTTTCTTCTAATTCAACACAAGATGAATACCTTTTTTTCTTGTTACATTCTTGAATATTCAGCGGTAACAGTGAGCTTTTTGCCACAGTTCTAAATTTTATCACAACTATGTATCATAAGTGGCTCTAAAACATGCTCTTTGTTTTCTTTTGTGGTTTCATTCTGTTAAGGATATAGTCTGTTTAATTAAGTTTTACTACCTTTTGTTTAGTCCGATTCTTTTCTGGCCCTCTGGTGTTGGTAGAAAGACAGACCTCTAGAGAAAGAAATAAGCAGTTGCAACAGAGCCCTCTGCTTTCGGTGAAGATGCAGTGTGGGAAAGAGCTCTTACTTTTAAGAGCACTAGGTTGACATGTCTTGAGTCTGCGCATTTGGGCAATGTTTATGTGCTTGTTCTTACATCTGGTCTCCACGTACCAATGTTCACTGATGAAGATGAGCCAAAGCGTCTTTCTTTGCAAAGACAGAAGCTTTGCAAAATGCAATGTTCTTAAATTAACTTTGTGTGTGTGGTATCGCTGTAGGAGCGACAGGAGGCAGAGAAAATGTTCAAGGGCAAACGGGGTGCACAGCTTGCAAAGGATATTGCCAGGAGAACAAAAACGTAAGATAAAAAAACCAAATTTACACTGGCATTCTCCTTCAGAAACACCACTTTCTTTGTGGGCGGTATTAGGCAGTACACTGAAATATCAGCTACTGGCAGGATGCCTTAAAAGCTTTGGTAACCACAAGTGCGTTGTCCAAGCATCCTGATTTTTGGATGGTGGTGAATACATCTCAGAAATATTTTTGAAAGAGAGATTTGGTCAGGGTGGATTGATTTAAGTCAACAAGCAGGAAACCTTAATTTTATTTTTTCTTTTTGTTATTTAACTGCAGAGAGGTGGCCATTGTTTAATTTTTTTTTTTTTTTCCCCTAGATAATTTGTAACTAAAATGTTTTGTTTTGCCAGGGAATATAAACTGTAAAATCTGCTGTAGTTAGGAGGATAAATGCAGATGAAAATCTTTAGTTAGGCTGGCACAAATATAGGTTTATTTAGTTTAATTCTGAAGTGGTAGGTCATATGTTTTGTTTAATCTTTCATCACCCTGTTTGGAAACCAGAATTTGGATCATGTATAGCAACAACATTTCCAAATTCATAGTTAAATAAAAAAATACCTTGAACTTACTTAGCATTTAAAACTGTAATAGATGGACTCTAGCTCTAGTTTATGATAAGAAAAGGGTTCAGGTCTGTGATAGTTTTAGAACAAGTAGGCGATTGAACAAAATAGCTCAATAAACAGATAGGAAGAAGATCTTTCTATGGCTGCAAAAGACGTTGCAGCACTCTGATGCTGGGTCAGCGCTTCAGAAAATTCTTTCCAGCTGATGACTCAGTAACATCCATTTTCACAGACTACAGATTTTTTTTTTTCTCCTTAAAGCAGCAGCAGCAGATAACCTTCTTCTTTTGAGTGTTAAGATTACATCCAGCCTAGTGTAAGCTTTAATACAGGCTGTTGTAATATCATATTAGACATACGAGAACTTGAAACCGAATTTCAGTTACTCTATATTTATCCACCCTGCTTTTGTAATGGCGACAGACCACCTGAGCGTTCAACAACATCCAAATCGAACAGCTTTTGTCAACTGCTTAATTTATGAAGCGAAGGTCTGCCTCTCTTTATGAGGAGATGAAAAGGTGGGGGGGGAAATGGGACAGCGAGGACAAGTTGCTGGTGTTTCTGAAGGAGGCAATTATTCACTGTATCAGTTTGTTAACAAAGATAAGATACTACACTTGATTGAATGAAATGCTTCCAAACCTAGTTTGGAAGTTAGAGAAGCATGTACTCTTCGAAGGGTGTAATGGGTTTTTTTATTTTTCCGTTGAAGCTTCAACCCAGGTGCTGGCCTGCCAACTGACAAAAAGAAAGCTGGGCCCTCCCCAGGGGACGTTGAGGCAATTAAGGTATGTCAGGAGGGCACACGTGGGCAAAAGTGGAGGAGAAAAACTGTTGTGGATCCAAACCCAACAAATGTTTCCTTTCTCCTGGCAGCCCCTGACTGTTCAGACGAATAGAACAGTGTGTCTTAACATTGGTTTAGGTACTTTTTCTGTAATTTTTCTTCTGTTATGACCTACCTGTTTTTTTGAGAACTTAAACAAAACTTTGGTGTGAGCTTAGAGCTCTCCCAGGATAGAGCAGCTTGTTTAATAAGGGGTGAAGTAAGATTGTGCTTTGTCACTTGCGGAATTTTCTAGTACTAGAATTTTGTAGAACTTTCCATAAAAGCTTAGCTTCACTTAACTGGAAAAAATCTTGGGTTTATGGGTATTCTAGACAGACTGAAATACCATACGTGAAGATTCATCATGTTCTTTTGTCTGTTTTTTAGACTGCTATAGCAAATGCCACGACTTTGGCTGAAGTGGAGCGACTGAAAGGCTTACTACAGGCTGGTCAGATTCCTGGCAGAGAACGGAAATCAGGTCACTCTATGCTTCTATTACTTCTGTTTCCCAAAGAGAATCTACCTCTCTTTATTGCTTCCAGATGCTGTATGTGATCTCAGTAGGGAGTTATACTGGAAGGGCCAAACAGCGAGTTGAAAAAACTGTTTAAAATGAGTGTAATTTTACAGTCGGAATAACTGAGGATCGCATCCGTAAGACTCTGCGATCGGTGTATTAGCCGCCTGGCCTTCAGAGTGCCCTAATACCTGGACTCCCTTGAGAGCGAGGTGCCAAACACCAGCCCTAAATGCCTCGCTGTGTTGGCTAACTCCAAACCCTTCATCCCAGTTACTTAAAAAAAAAAAAAAAAAAGAGATTGATTACGCAGCATATCTGGACTCTGTTGCTCTGAGCATTAGTGCCTCAGGTGGGGGTACAGGAACGTCTCTGTGGTCCTCGAGAGGTCTCTGCATGGACAAATCTTCACTGCAGACTGGCAATGTTGCCTCTTTTCTGTGTATTAGAGCTACGCAGATTTTTTTTTTTCCCCCGTAGGGGTTTTAATCCACGTTATTACTGCCCCTCTTCAGGGGGCCGAAAATTA